CGTCTCCGTTCTTCAGTGGAAGCTGTGATCTTGGCATCCCTGGTTAGCTGGTTATCTCTACCCTCCTGATTATCCTTCCTCATCCAATCTACTCATCCCATAGCCAATCCAACGCTCACGGTAACCAACACTGGCACCATCAGCCAGGGCACCTCCTTGACCTTTTCATCCACAGCCATCAATTCCTCTGTTGACACGAGCGTAAGTTGAACAGATCATTCGCTCCTGTATAAACAAAATGGTGGTGCTAACTTTGTGTCAAAAGACTTTGTCCTGTCAAATGATGATCGGCGGAAACCCCTTCTCAATCTCTCTACCTTACAACCAATGCGTTGTTCCCAACACTGTCAACGGCCCCGTCGCGATCTACGTCACATCTGATGACAACCCCCTGCAGAGCAACGTCGTCAATCGCGCTAGCGCGAATAACATTCTCGCTGGACCCACCGTTGCCTTTATTGACGCCCAACCCGAAACTCTCGGGCAAATGGTTCGTTCGAGTGGCACTGGCACAGCTGCAGCTAGCAGTTCTACACAGACCATCAGTCCCGATGTTGCTGCTTCTATCATCAGTGCACAAGGGACACCTTCCGCCTCTGGAGCTGCTGCTACCGACACATCTGCTGCCTCTGCAACAGACTCTGCGTCAGCTGCAGCTTCTACTTCAAACTCAGTCAACGACAGCTCTGACCCATCTGCTCCTTTCCGTGATGATTTCACTGGTCTCGCTCCTGGAGGCGCTATCAATGTTGTTGGATGGAGTAACATCCCTTCAAATTGAGCATTTGGCCCAGGGGAGTAGGACCCAGACCTGTATATACTGATGGACACTATGGACACTGCCTTTTCATTTCTTTGGAAGAGAGGGGTGATAGATATACAAGCACCCTGTATACCGTTTATTTTTTTTTTGTTCTTGTCGCGCAGCGTTCTATTGCTTGCACCTTGAAGGGAGGTGGTTTGAATACCGAATCGAATACCTTGGGTTTCATATGTATGTCGTATTCGTAGATGTAAATCGTGTACTGCGTGGATCGGCACATATACAATCCAGAGGATCCGAAAATTCTGCTTCGCTGTTGCTCAGACTGGAATATTATGCCAAGGTAAAAAGAGTGGCCATTGTAAACAATAAGTTACATCCAGATGCAAAGTGATGTATGTACAGATATGATCCTTTAAAATCCAGGTGTTTGGCGAATAACATCCTCTCGCCAATGTAAAAGGTATAAAGATTTTAGTCCTTGTCGAACAGCTCCTAATCTTCATCACTTTCTTCACTCGACGTATACTCATCCTCATCCGCACTGTCTCCTCCAGCAAACTGCTTTAGCGATATTGGCGGACCTCTTGGGAGTACAGGTGATTCCTCAGGTGCAATCGCCGCGGCCAGGAAATCATCCACAGGAAACACAGATTCTTGGTCCTGCTCCTGCTCATCTTCCTCCACTTCTAAGTGTGCATTCATTAATGTGTTGAATTCATTGATATCAATTTCCTCCCCTCCTTCATCCTCCGCGGCCACAGGCCCAGCAGTAATAGAGCTGGGAGCGGCGACTTCATCCCATTCTTCGTCCTCAGAGTCAGAGTCAGAGCTTGCGGCGAGTGGCAGAGAAAGAGGTGGTGGAGCGGTTGCTTGAGATCGAGATGCTGACGAAGACTTGGGCTTGGGTGGGACGGGTATAGGTGGTGGATGCACGACTGCGTTCGCCATCCCAGGCAATTCCAGACGAAAGGGAGACGGTCCACGTTTGGGCTCTTGAGGTATAGGCGAAACGCGGTTTCGTTTTGTGAGGCGCCCAAACTCCAACGTCTCTTCTTCTGCATCTGAGAAGGTAGGCGTTGCTCTTTTGGCAGTCTTTTTGCTTTTTGAGTCTATAAAATCAGAGGTAGATGTAGATGCTTGAGTCGGTGGCGGAATGGATGTCGAGGTAGAATGTAGTGTCTCTTCCTCTGCACGAGATCTCTGAGGTAGAGGCTTTTTCGGGCGCTGAATGGGAGGAGTAGGTGTAACTTTGACTTGAACGTTCGGAGGAATTACTTCTTCGACATCATCCACTTCCATAGGTATTGATTGATTAGAGACCAAAGTGTGCGGAGGAGTATCTACAGTCGAAGCACGAGCCGGATGAGTACTGCTCGATGGAGTAGAGATTGGGGGAGAAGTTATTTGTGCAGACGGGGAGCCTGTTATTGCGATGAGAATAGACGATAGGTCAGCGGAGGGAATGCGGATTGTGCGGAAATATCGGACGTACGCGAAGGCCGAGTAGAACCAGCCCGTTTTTCAGGAGGACCAAGTGCAATGGAGGATTCGAGTTTCTCCAGTGTGTATCCCTGTTGAATATAATCAGTACGGTGGAGGAGCGTAATGTGTGTGAGAGAGACGCACTCCGGTTTCTTCATCGTAAATGAGGATACAGGTCCATTCCTTTGACGCAACTGCTTTCCCAGGGAATGAATATATTTCTCCGGGCTGCAAATATTCGTGTTACTCTACTTTCACCAGCATATTGAAGGGGAATCGCACTTGTGTACTGGCATGTTCTACTGTTACCGAGGCATTTGAATCATCGTTAGCGCGCCTGACGTCTAGGGAACCGGGTTTCGTGGAATCAATTAATGAAGGCTTAAAGCCGTCTATGAGAGCAATGTATTAGAGAGATAGCATATCATAGTATGAAGGCGGCTTACATCTAACAGAGTAGAACTCGCGTTCAGGTAAGATATTTCGTTTTGCAGGCTGTTGACCAGAGGTGTTGTTCTTCCGTGCTCTTAGCGCTCGCCCAAGTGAAGAGCCAATATTCAGTTGATGCTGACCAGCAGACGGTGTCCATGAGTTATTCGAGTTCGAAGGCATACGAAGAAAAAAGGGAAGCAAAGATGAAGGATAAAGGACAAGAAACTCGGACTGCCAGTTGGCACTGGCAGGCATGCATCTTACTGTAAATCCTTTCCTTTTACGGATAACAATTAAATTCTGAATTGCCAGCCGGTTGTCCTCAGTCCCGATGTACCGCCCCAACCAACTGTAAACTACGAAACAAGACTCATATCGCGGCTTTTAAGGGTGACCGTCGAACGTCGAACAGCTCGCAAACACTCAGAGCGACCTCCGACAAAACGTGCTTCAAGCTTAAATTGAACCAACTACTATCATGAAACCTCGTGTTTCGACTTTGTCTTTTTCTTCGATTTCTTCGTACCCTCTACTTGTTCTTCTTTCTGCGCCGTCTCCAACTCCATATCATTCCGTTTTCGCTTTCTTTTTTCTTCCACAGTCGGCGCGGCATCTTCTTCTGGTGCCACAAAGGCTTCCGCACGCCCTGCACGACGTTTCTCTGTAGTTTCGGCTTGCTAAAGAAACCATTTATCAATAAATGAATGACAATATATGACCAACCATTCGAGCCTACCTTTTGTTTCCTTTGAGCGTTCTCTCTTGCATCTTTTTCGTGTTTCTTGAGAAAATACTCTCCAGACTCGAGCTGGAGATCGACCTTTCTCGGAAGCTGCGTAGGAGGAAATGGCGTGTACACTTTCTTCTTCGCCGCTACATCAGCCAAAGATTCTTCCGGTAACCCAGCAGCTTTCCGTGAAGCGTTCTTCGTTTCGAGCCTTTCGTTCTTTTTCGCTGTCTTTTCGGATGTTTTGAGGTGGTTTTTACGGAACTTGGGTAAGAAACGGTCCCATGATTCTGTAGCGAGCTTGGGATCTTTTGCTAGTTCGCGGCGTATCATAAGTTCCTGGACAGATTTTTTTTTCATTCGAGGTCAGACGACACTTTAATGAATAAGGTGAAATTTTTACTTTGATACGATATATTGGGTGTATATTCTTCATGCAATCAAGGACTATCCGTCTTACTTCCTTGAGTGATTTGTGTGGGCCCATGACACTGACCGTGCTTCCTTGTACAAGCACATAACATTGTGTCAACAACTCGATAGCCTGAGCAACATTTTGAGTACAAAGGAGCCTTGGGTAAAGAGTAGTACACACACCTTCAATGTACTACCATCCGGACCAATAATCCTCTGCCGTCTCTTCACAAACCGCTCCTTATTCCTTACCAGATTTCCTATTTTTATGATATCAGACGATATATCGTCATTCAGAATCTTCACCGCCTGTGTCACAGCGACGCCGCGGGCGAGGAGCTTGATAAGATCCCGTGCCTTGAGAATCATGTAGGGGTCATAGGTCTTTCGAGTAGTGCGAACTGACATGGATCCATGAACAAGGTCGAGAGTACATGCTATGCCCTAGACACAAACTCAACACGGAAAGTAGAGGTAACGATAGTTTGAGCACATACCTGTGTTTCCAAAGCCCGAGTCACCGCACTCCAAACTTCGCGCAGATACTTTTCACGATATTTCGGGAAAAGCGTCGCAAAAGATGATTCTTCTGCAAACGCACCGGCTTTGTTATCCGCTGGTAGGAACGGATCGATTTTCCACTATGATTGAGTCAGCACTGAATGGTTGCTCTAAAGACCCAAGCCTACACTAACGGAGATGGAAATGAGTTTCACTATCCCTTCCACAAACAAAACAAGGGCTCACTGATCGATATCATCGGTATCCCATGCTACTTTAAGAGTTAGAAAAAGTTTTGAAAGAGGACTCGTATAGACTTGCGTTTATCCTTTCTGTGGCTCTTGTTCTTGCTCACCGCAACTTCTTCGTCGTTGGACATGGTAAAAGGTTTGCGCGCGCTTATTCAAAATTCAAGCGCTCAATATTCAATTTTCATTTTCGGTTTTTTTTTTGCGCAGGCTTTCCGTTTGAGCGTTGAAGTACTCACAAGTATTCGAGCCCACCAGACTCTAGGAATCAAGCGATTAGCAGCAAAAGCCCTGAGTTTCACAACACCATGGCACAACGAGTCACGATTTTGCTGCGTAATATGACCACTGTCCACCGCTTCCTGAATTCTTTCATGCAGTACTACCTATAGATCTCTAAAAAAAAATGATTTTTTCCGGATGGCAAAAGTGACCACCGCAGGGGTCGAACCTGCAATCTCCTGATTATGAATTCCATCATCGTAGTCAGACGCGATGCCATTTCGCCAGGCGACCTATATTTAACCTGAAGTACCACTGGACTCATATGGAATTTTCTACTAATTAAATTATATAATGAGTAGGCTTATAAGCTGCAATCAAGTGACAATGATACTGTAATACATGGATATCAAAGAAAACGATAAAAACATATAAAGAAAACAATCCAGGATCATGTACTGACTGAGTTTCTAATAACAACCCTCTTTCACTCTTCTCTCAGAAACGCATCCAACTCATCATCTAACTCTTGTTGACTCTTCCGCGGTCGGTTCTCCCTCTCCTTATTACCCTCCCGTTTTCCCCTTCGTCTATCATTTCTTCCATTTCTCGTCGTCCGTTCAAACGTTATCCTTTCCGACAAATCTACCTTCTCATCCGACCACAACCGATCACCCGAACTCTGTCCGCCACCCCGTCCTCTCTGTATCTGATTCTGATTCCGAGTCCGTCGAGGCAAAGGCGCGGTGAGCCGTGAGGCAAGATCAAGCTTGGGTGAATCAGTATCCGGAGTCCCAACCACCGTCCGTCCGTCACTCGCGATGTAGTCTGAACGCATTTTAGATGGTGGAGAGGGAGGTGATGGAGATTGTGCTCTGATGGAATCACGGTCACGGTCACTGTCATGAAGCACAAAAGCATCCTCTGCCTCTCCCTCCGCTAAAAACGCGTCTAGGTCTTGATCTAGTTGTTCTCGTTTACGATCCTCCGATTCTTCACCAAGACCAAGACCATCACTGTCCCTTCCGACCCGACGTCTCTTGTTCTGAGCAACAGGAAGATCCCGACCGTTAAACATTTCCTTCCCAGCCATCTTTCCATGTTTCTTATAAAACTCTGAATCATTCATTGCTCCCCGTTTCTTCACGTCATCTATCCTCGCCCAACGGACCTTCATCAGTCCCTTCATAGGAGACTGGCGACCGTCCTGGGCATTGTCTGATAAACCCAAACTGCGATTTATCCTGTCCTCCGGAGGCCATAAGGCCATTGGTATAGGTTTCGATGTAATGAACCCTTCGTTGTCAGGTTCCTCGCCACGGGATTTGGTCAGCGCGCGGAACGCTGACTGCGCGGCAGATCTTGACGAAAAGACGAGGATACAGGTGGTGTCGGAGATCCACTCGAGGGCTAGGGGGTGAGAAGAGGAGGAGGAAGAAGGTATGAAATGGGTTGCATAAGCGAAGAGACGCGCAGTGGGGAGATGGGAAATGGGTGTTCCTTGAAGGAGAAGAGCGTTTGGTCGGAGGTTGGGGTCTGGATGGGAATAGTTAATATTGGCTATGGTCATGTAATTCAAGATTTACCGGTGTCCATTTCAATGTCTTCGTCATCTTCAGCTTGGACTGTCGATGTCAGTCCCTCAGTTTCTCCTCCTCGGTTCCGCTTTTTCGAATGACAAAGATGAAATCGTAATACATAGCGAGGAGGCGGTCATAATCCCAGTTGGAAAAAGGGATATGAATATCGAACAAGAATCAAAAGTCCATGACAGATTTGATGATCCAGCGCAAAAACACAAACAAGGAAGAAGAAGAAGAAGGAAACTAAAAAGTCAATCATCCAGTTTTTTTTCCCTCTACGAATTCAAAAGCTCACCTTTCCGCCTCTGGATTTCGCTGCTGAGGCTGCAGAGGACTCTGAAAGGAGATAGACTTTGGTGTTTCCTATTCTACTAGCCAACTCCGCCGCAGTCGTTGTAGGAAATTGTTCCTCGTACGGAACAGTTTCATCGTAAGAAAGCGGTTGAAGCCCACGGTCCTCATACGTGTCGGACGGTTCAAGGGTAGAGAGTCTGAAGCTTGTAGAGATGTCCATTGGTATGTATGTAAGTACTTTTATGAGATGGTAATCTTGCAGGCAGGGGATGGAGGTATGGTGGCACGAAGGACAGTTATGTACTCGATGTCACCGGCCCGGTGAACGATGTTCGCAAACTTTCCCTACTATACTATGGCAGGGAATTGCAGCTTTTTGATAAATCGCCAATAACTTTACAAGGACTTAGAATCTTATAAATCTGAGCAGGACATTTGATTTTTAGCACCTAAAACCCTTATTCTGCTTTGTTGAGATTTTATGATATTTTATTACTAGCATTGGGCAATGTCCTAGCAAAAACAGGGAATTGCAACTGTTTGGTCACTTGGCTGTCATGCAAAAGCCATTGTCAAGAATAGAGGCCCGACGGTTGTTCCGGTCACGGCGCCCTTCTTCGTTATCATACATGTTTTAGTTTACAGTGCCTTTATGTATTTGATATTCTAGTTATTTTATATACTCAGTATGTAGTCCTGAATGGACAACGGTTTCCGCCCTTTCTTCCCCCCCTGCTCTTGTGTTGAGCACTTCGAAGACAACCCACGGACTCGACGTCCACTTGTTCAGTCATCGCCGAACCGTTCCGGCCCCCAGTATTTCAACAGCCATTGAGCGACAGAGCCGCCAAAGTATTGGTAATCAGCCATTTTGTTTGCTGTGCAAGCATGCAGAAAGAATCAAGAGTTTTTATTATATATTGGTAAAGTAAGTAGTGGGATCATGAGATAAATGAGGAATAGGACATGGAACTGGACATGGAACTGGAAGTGGTTGTACTGGATTAGTGTTATGATCATGCAAAATAGGATTGTATAAGAAGTAAAAGCAGAGTTAAGTCCAACACTGGGAGAACTGTCCTAGCAAAGGAGAAGCGGTCCTTCAGAGGTGTAGTCAGACACTGGCAATATCATTAATACCTGTTATATTCATGCAAAGCCAAGTCCTTTCTGAGGCTTTGCAATCCCTTACTCTGATATTCTGTTACACTATATTCCGTCATGGAGTTGTACTCCACAATCTACTTACTTCACAATTCTTTTCCTCATTGCTAAGCAATGCTGTTTAATCCTTTTGGACATTCCTTTGTTTTCCAACATGTTGTCCACATGTTTTAATCTACCTATCCAGAGATAGCAAAGCAGTGCATACCTTAGTAGTAGCATCATATAAAGCTAGAGTATCCAATAGGTAGTTCCCTAGTTTAAATATCAACTTTGATAGCACCCTTTGATAGTGGTAGTCATCATATTCTCACTCAAGTTCCCCATTGACTACCTCAGTACAATCATGGAGTTACACACGATCAGAATTACCCTTGTTCAAAACCTTCCCTCACTTTTGGACAGCAACGTGTTGGGGATGATATTAATAATATTTCCAATGTCTGACTAATTCTGAAGGATCAAGTTTCCTTCACTAGCCCCTTTTCCCTAGCGTTGGACTTTCCTCCATGGAGTTTAACTCTGCTTTGACTTCACCCTGATCCTCTTTGTGCATGATCATAACAGACAGTGATGTGTCAGGGATGATATTAATAATATTGCCAACATCTGACTACCTCTGAAGGATCAATTTACCTTCACTAGTTATTTTATCTAGCATTGGACTTTACTCCGCAGAGTTTAACTCCACTTCAACTTCACTTCTGATCCCTTTGTGCATGATCATAACACAAAGCCTCAGAAAGGACTTAGCTTTGCATGAATATAACAATTAGGAAATTGGTAGGTAACAGGTTGTGTAAAGTGCAATATTGGAGATGGTGAATAATGCATTTTTAGGCTGAAGATAATGGCAGAATTTGGCCATTTAGAAGATATACAGAGGTGTTTGCAAAGTTGGTCAGGAATTGAGTGTTTGGCTGATGCATGGCTTGAATGGCAAGGTCAACCACTTGGATGCTGTCATGCAACCTCACTTGTACATCTTTTTGTCCATCACTCAATGGATAATACACCAATACCTTTCAAATTTTGGATATAAGCTCTTGATAGTGTGCTTCATATGCTGATGTCCTTTTTTGTCCCCTCTGTTAAGGCTGTGCAACCAGAAAGGATAAGGCCAAGTGTTATGATCATGCATGGTCGTAGGTGATAAATTGGATTGCGGACTATAATTCCGCGGGGTAAAAGACCGAACACCAAGATAACTCCTGGTGAGGGTTAAGTGAACCTACGGAGGGGTCGTCGGATGTTGACACTACTATTAATAGCATCCCCGACACGCCGCTGTCCGAAAGCGAAGATGAGGGTAATTCCGATCGTGGGAGAAACTCACGCGATCGTACTTAGAGTGATGTTTGAGATTTAACTCTATTTGATACACTATTGAAGTGCGCTATCAAAGTCGATATTTAAACTAAGGACCAACTATTCTACTCTCGTAGCTTTATACTGTAGTCGCTACCTAAGGGTCGCTAAGCAATAGTATCCTAGAATAGTATGGTCGAACATGTGGAAGATAAAAGGGGAAAGTATAAAGGGAACAATATAAAAGGATATATATAAAGAATCGGTTAAGGTGCAAGGGATATAAGAGCGAAGTGTAACAGGATCGCGGAGGTAAGCTCCGTGACGGAAGAAAATAATGGGATCAAATACCGGAAAATGATTGTCGGGACCGCGGGGGTAACTTGGCATGGTCGTAACAGTGCCCCCCCATTAGGATCGAGCCCTCGAGATCCTGCGTAAGAGTATGACTAAAAATAAAGGTGAATGAGTAGAAGTAACGGCGATCAAAATAACTGTGTAAAAAAGGATTTTAAGGCACGCGCAGCTGCATGCTAAATGTGATGAAAAAATTTGAAGTTGACCGGCCCTAATGATCGAAAAGGTATAAAAGCATAAGGTGTAAGAGTAAAACACTCCAAGTTCTCCCCGCTCATCATGTCGACTACCTCTACCATCACCGAAACTACGCAGCAACGTCGCGAGAGGCTACTCCGCGTTCAGGCGGAGAGACAGAGGTTACGTGAGGAGGAGGCCGCTAGACAAGCTGCGGAGTTCGAGGAGGAGATGAGGCATCTCGAGGAAGAGGCGGCTCGTGAGGCAGAAGTAGCAGCAGAGAAGAAACGGTTGGAGGAGAAGAAATTAGCAGAACAAAAACGACGGGCTGAGGAGAAACAGAAGGAAACGGAGAGGGTTGCACAAGAAAGAGCCAAGGCTCTGAAAAAATTGGCAGAGGATAAGAGGAAA